CTATGAAATGAATTGTAAAATGAAATGTTAATGAAATCAAATTTAATATTAAAAAAGAATGTGATGCATATTGAAAAGGTAGTCAATGCTTTGAGAGACCTGTGTCACTTATAGATGTAAAGCGTAGCTTTCTTATTGTGTATGGAGTATTATTGTGGATTAAGGTAAATTAAAAAAAGGCAAATCAATACGTTGGAAGGATAGCCTCTGTGTATTGACAAGCAGAATTCAGCCGAGAAAATTTTATAAAGTAATATAATGAGTATTGCACAACATTTTGCTCTGAAACCACAAACAGGAAGTTATTGGCATGTAAAACAGCTTACACAATTGCCATCGGCACTTTGCTTGTGCTATCAAAGTATCACAGACTGAAGACATTCTTATCTGCCCTAAAATCATATTAGTAATGAGGAAGTAAATTACTAATTAGGAGCAAGTATCTATTTGCAGTGGCTAAAAGAGCTTTGCGTGCTCATGCAAAGCACTCTGAATTCCCCATGTCATGTTTTAAGTCACCAAACCATCTCTGCCTTTCTGCATCAAAAATGGGGTATGGAATCTCTGAGAACAATTTGACAGTAAAAAACAATCCTCTGTCGTCAACATTAGGTACAGAAATACATAATACCAGAATCGGCGGAAGGCAAACTGTGTGAAGCTTTAACTGGTTTCCACTAAATGCTAAAGAATGATAAGCTCTGATAAATCAGTGTCTCAGTTCTAGAACTGGATACTCTCTTGAGAGTTACTGAACAACTAGTTCTATGGATGATTGCAATCTGTAACATGTTAAGCAGTTAAAAAAAAAAGATTGCTTACTAAATAGAATAAAGTGATTTGAAACATTAAAAAAGGTGATGAATCATTTTTTTAAATGAGAAGATCAGTCTTATTTTGTCCAATAAATTAATTGCATTCTCTGTATTTCTGGGACTAAGTAATAAACAATAAACAGTATTTAAACTTCCTGTCAACAAGGCATATTCCTTGAAAACAGTAAAGTTCCAAAAGTAACCATAAAATAAAAGTATAATGTAATTTTGATTTCTAAACTGGAACTAACAAAAAAAAAATTAGAAATATTTATTCCCTTGCTTGAATTTAAGGATTTCAAAGAACTGACCACATTATCTATTTAAAACTATTTTTAAAAGCAAAAGCAAAAATAATAAAAAAAACACACGTATAAAAATATTAGCAATTCAGAAGCACTGTCTTTAGAACAAAAATTATTGAGAATTTTTAGAAAACAAAAAGCGAGTAAAACAAAATTGCCAGATATCAGATAAATATATAAATTAGTTATAGGTTTATCCCAAACCAAAAAATAAAAATACAACTTAGATTTAAAAACAAAACAAAACATCATTTTATAATAATGTCAATGAAAAGTGTCAAATTGACTAGATTAATTAAATCTGTAAAAGATTACTAACGCCTGCATTGGAGAAGAAAACAGTGTGCAAATGACATCAAGGAAGATATAAATAAGAAGCCAAAACATGTTCAGAGGTAAGCTTTTCATTTATAAAGATGATGATTCTATCCAAAATAACCTATAATGCACTTATACAATAGGGTAAAATTTGGGGCAAAATTTATATGAATAAGACAAGACGGAAGATTAGTCAAAGCAATATCTTTTAAAAAAAGGAAGGGGTATAGGAGGTTAGACATGTTGATCAAAGAGAGCAAAAGTTTGGGACCAGCAGATTGCGTAATGGTAATGTCATTGGACTCCCACGTGGTTGACAGGGGTTTGAGTCCTGGACCCAGAAACTTCGAACTCACACCAGGCACATGTGCATGCATGCCCAAAATTCTGAGAGGAGAGAGGAGAAGGGATTGTAGTGTGACCATCCCTCTTGGGTGTGGGGGGGTTGATTTCTCACTTTGTCTCTCTGTCTGTCTTTCCAGAAAGCACACGGGGGAACCAGCAGTTAGCGTAATGGCTATGTCGCTGGACTCCCACGTAGTTGACTGCAGTTCGCGTCCCGGACCCGGTGGCTTAAAATTCACGCTGGGCGTGTGTGCATGTGTGCCCAAGATCCCAAGAGGAGAATGGAGGAGAAGGGATTGCGGCATGACCATTCCCCCTGGGGGGTGATTTCTTGCTTTCTGTCTCTATGTCTCTCTCTGTCTGTCTGGCGAGTGCACGCGCCCTATAGCAAAAACCTCTCAAAAAAAAAAAAAAAAAACCAAAAAACAGAAAGCACACGTGCCCTGTACTAAAAATCTCTTTCTAAAATGAAAAAAAAAATGAAATTTCAGTTAAATGAGTTAAATTTCAGTTAAATGAAATTTCAGTTAAATAATTTTAAGAGCTCTATCAAAAAACATGGTGACTACAGTTAATAACATTGCATTGTCTTTTTAAAAAACTTCATTAATTTTATTCATGAAAGAGAGGACATGTGTGTGCGTACGTGAGCATGCAAGAATGCAGGAGAGACGGAGAGAAAAAGAGAGGAGAAGCACCCTCAATGTGGTCTGCTCATGCTGTAATCTTCCTCCAACCCTACAGCCACTCAGGATCTAGTTAGATGGAATGACATTGGGCTGGGGAGAATAGTGGGATCTTGATGAACATAAATAAAATTGCCAATAGATAGAATAGAGTTTCTATTGTTTCTAGTGTTCACTATTGCACAGTGAGCAGAATATAGATGATGACAACTTGCTGTGTATCTCAAGTAACTAAAGGGAGAATTCTGAATATTCTCAACACAAGTAATGACAAGTGGCTGTATGCTAATCACCCTGAATAAATCATTACCTATCCTATTCTTGTGCTGTAAAGTCCCATTGGACCTCCACAAACACATCTAATTATTATATTTAATTTAAAAGTTATTCAAGAAAGAAACAAAACTTGAATGGATAACAACATTATAAGATATTGAAAAATAGGAAATATCTCCTCTCCTGAATGAATCTAGGCCTAGGTTATTAGAGAGATGAAATATTTGGAAACCTTAAAGTAACAGATAAAGTTTCTGTCATTCAAATTATTCCAGAAAAACAAAAATGGGAGAAATTTAAAATATCAAATGCTTCAAATACCATGGGAATTTATTTCTTACTTCTATTCAATAGTACTCAGAAAAGTAAAAATTTGTGAAAAAGACAAAAAAGTAATTAATTTCAAATAGCTACCTAGAAATTTGAAAGAAATATAATTGAAAAACAATTAGAATAAGGGAGTTTGGTAAAGTGACTTCACAAAAAATAAGTAATTTTAAAATTAGTATCTTTCCTAATCATTGATTAGAAAATATAATGGCAAAAATTAAAATTCCATTTCCAAAAGCATAATTTACCATAAGATTTTTAGTACTTAATCTAACAGGAAATATTTAAGATGTATGTGAAGCAAGCTATTAGTTTTCTCTTTCCAAAATATAAACAAAAGACCTAAATGAATGGAGAAATACATCTGGTCTAGTTGTTCCTAAACTGTCTTCTAAATTCAATTCCAGCTAAAAAAGTTCCAATTAAATGTTTAAAGAATTATTTATTTATTTAGTACTATTATTTTTTAATTTGGTATAGGACATGCATGCTAACCAGAGAGAGAGAGAGAGAGACAAAGTGAAAAAGCAAGCCACCAGGTTTGGGATTAGAACCACTGTTGGCCATGTGGGAGTCCAGTGCCTTAACCACCATGCCACTTGCTGGTCTCCCCAACTGAATTTTTATTACTATGGTAGAATGATTCTGAAGATCTAGAATATCAGAACCAGAAGTTAAAATTTAACCTACTAGTAACAATAAACCTAGTGCAATAAAATTAGAGTAAGTAAAATAATAAACTGGTAGAGAGAAATGGAACAATAGAACAGAGTGGTTGGTCTGTATTTAGACATCTATATTCAAATTAATGACAACAGTGGAAAAAGATAGGTTACTAAATAAATGATGATGCAAGAGGCTAAGGACAAGAGGCTATCCATACATAAAAAAGGATAAATTTTTATTTAAATACATACATTTTATATGATATAAGTTGGGAAGAAGATTTTCCTTAATAATATAATAGTATCAAAAAGCCATAACAAAAGACAAAAAAAAATTGACAATATAAACATCAAAGTTCTGTAGAATAAATGACTTAACAAAGTCGATAGGTCTCACATGAGAGACAAAAACAGGCAAAATTAATTTATGTCATTAGAAGACAAAAGAGGGACCCGCAGAAACCACCATGAGTGGTGGAATGGTCAATGTCAATCCCATATGGGAAGGTTTCTCGCTCAAGTCCATAGCTCTCCCTGTACACTAGGCACACACTTGTCCATGAGCCACGACCAGCTAAAGGTTGGGGGTGGATTTAAGTGTCACAACCCTACTGGTAGTGCTGTCTCCCCTCCTCCCATTCCATGTCTCTTTCTCATAGGAAATATAAATAAACTTAAGAAAAAAATAAAGCAAAAGAATAATTATCCTTCCTTTTAGCAGTGGTGTGGATGAGGGGTTATTAGTAACTGGACAGGAACATGGCATGAGAGAGCAACAGGGGTTCTGGTAATATATTTCTTTATTGTTATGTTTCTTCATTTGGATTCTAATTACCTGGGGATGGTTCAGTCTATAAAATTTTATAGGGTATGTATTTATGATATGGGTTATTTTCTATGTGTATACTACAGTGAGATAAAACAGGTCAGAATGGACATAGACACATATTATTTCTATCTCTTCATCTAGCTAGTAAGTTATAGTATAGGGTCTTCCACATATCAAATTGTTAGTACTAGTAAACTTAGGGATGGTAGTAAGATGAAGAGCTAGCGAGAGAGGAGAAATGGAGAAAATCAAGATGAACGTTTACTTTTGATTTTAAATTCATCTGTAATTTATATATGTACCCAAGAAGCATGTATTATTTATATAATTTTTAAAAAGTGAAAAATAAAAAAAACAGCCTACATATGTGACATATTATCCAAGACTTATGACTTAAGTACAATAAAGACAATTCTATAGGGATACTCTACCTGTGAATCTAATATGTTGGAAATTTCATGTGCACCAACATTTACTTCATCTAATTGCAAGCAAAATAAGTTTCTGGCAACTTGGACAAAATCTAAAATGGAACACAGTTCAGTAAGAACACAGAATTTAACTTCATCAAAATATATCTTACCTTTTCCTATGTTAAGTTGAAACTATGGGTTATAACTTAAATAAATTACCTTAAAATAGTATTGACGGACATGATAGGTAAAAAGAAGTTCAAATAAGAAGCAAGAGATAAGATGGTTCTAACTTATTTCAGTTAACCCTGCTAAAATTAATAATTCAGTTAAGACAATAATAAAGCAAATATGTATCACAGGTTTATCTAACTCTCCAGTTCTTACATTATGAGTAGAAATTTTTCACTGAAACATATGACAATAGTATGTCTTATGGCTTTTCCATTTTGGAAAAAAAAAAAAAAAAAAAGAAAAGTTTTAATAATAAAACCAGCCACTGTATGCCAGGTATGGTGTTAGCAATTTCATTATTTTTTTTTTTTTGAGTTTATTTTTACCATAGGGTGTGCACTCAAAAGTGAAAAATCATTCCCCAGAGGAGATGGCCAAACTGCAATCCCCTTTCCTCCATTCTTCTCCTGAGATTTTGGGCATACACACACACACACACACACACACACACACACACACACACACATGTGCCCTATGTGATTTTCAAGCCACTAGGTACAGAACTCAAACCACAGTTGGCCATGTGGACATCCAGCATCCTAACCACTACACCACCTGCTAACAGAGCAATTTCATTCTTAGAACAATATTCTGAGGTAAAGCCTCTTATTCTCTCTGTTTTACAGATGAATAAATTGAGCTACTGGTTAAAGGTCTTAAAATAGGGGCCGGCAGGTGGCATGGTGGGTCAGGTGCTGGACTGCCACATGGCTGGCCACAGTTCGAGTCCTGAGCCTGGTGGCTTGCTTTCTCACTTTCCCTTTCTGTCTCTCTCTCTCTTATCAACTAAAAAATAAATAATAACAACAAATGAAAGTAAAAAAAAAAAAATTAAAAAAATTGCCTGAAGACACTTGGCAAATCAGTAGCAGATCATTCCACAAGCAGCTTCATCTATGTAACCTCAGATATTTTTAATTTTGGCTATATTTTTCATTTCCAAGAATTCTTTTAAATGTTCTCGAATTGTTCCTATTTTATGACATCCTACTCTTATTTCATGGATGAGTTCTTTTCACTTATGTTTTTTCAAATGTTAATTATATTTTATCTGAAGTTCTCTTCTGCTCTTGATCACCACCCCCAACGTTTCAGTTCCTTTTTTCCTGTTTGTCCAACGGTGTTGGGATCTATATTTTATGTTGAAGGACTTCTCCAAATGTCTGGTGATCATTAGTTGTGAGTTCATTGTTAAGAGGTAGGCACTAAAAATGGTGACTGGAAATTCTTTGTGCATAACTTGTCTTGTCAAATGGTAGATTTCACTACAGAGTGATTAGGTGGACAGCTGACATTTTTGCTTAGGTTCTTCAAAGAGAATCATATAATCTCCTTCCTATAGCTTTATAAACATGGCTGCAGATTTCACTGAGCAATCTGGGTGTACGTTGTGAGTGAAGCCTTACTATACACTCCCCCAAACTCCTCTGCTGCTCATAACTACTACATAGATACAGACTCTCTTTGGTTTAATTTCTCAGGGAAATGTACTTCTTTCCTCCTGGAGGTTTAAGGGATTGGTAGCTACTGGAGTGTCTTGAGAAGGGCAGTGAACAGCATGTATAATTCTGCCTATCAAGATTTCTAACAATCCTGTTTTAAATTCCCTGCATAAATCCAATCTTCAGAAGTACCTGATATTTTCCATTCCTAAGACTTTTCAGGATCACATCAGCTTGTTCCTCATTGTGATTTCCCTCTCTCAGATACTTGGGCTTTACCAGTCTTTGTTCACTAATCCATGTATTTTCCTCATATTCTTCAATTCCTTAGATATTGCAGTTATTTCTGTTTGACATTCATGTATTTCTGTTTCTTGTTCTCATTGTTATTTTGTTGTGACTTTCAAGAGGAGATGGAACCAAAAATATCTTTTCATCACTTTAAAACCAAAAGATGAATTTCCTTTATTTAAGCAATACAGATGCTTTAAAAATGATATAATGTTGCATTTACTGTATTAGAAAACAATCAAATAATTAATAGTGTCATGGATTTAATAAAACACGCTATAGTTAAGAATTACTCACAGTACAACCAATGTGTCTATAAAATGTCTGTGGAAAACAACTTATCCATGTGTATTAAAAGCCCAAACCATTTGTGGGGATGTATTTGAAGAAAAGAAAAAAAGCAAAACTACATTCACAGTGATGGTAAACATTGGTAGTATCAACTACTGAGAAACCATAAAAATTCCTAGTAGTAGAAAATCTTAATTATAGCATGTCAACTAAGTGGTACATTATGCTATTTTTATTTAGAATAATTATATAGAATGATAATATTTATTATTATCGCATTAGCTGAAAAAGGACTCCAACTAATCTCACAACAGTAAAATTAAGAAGTCTATATTTTGTATACTTCCTTGTTATTAATAAAGCAATGTGTGCACAATAATTAAAAAAATAAAAAAGAATGTGATAGGATGATGATAGTTTAGAGCTCAAAGATTCTAACAAAGTTCTTCTTTCCTCTGACCCAGCCATAGCAGTAATTCTGGTTGAGTTTTTAAGAATACTAGTTAGGGAATGTGAAACACCTATGGTTTTACTTTTCATTCTCTCTTAAAAATAGGCACTCTTAATGAAAATGGATCACAATAACTCCTTAACCAAATTTCTGTTAATAATACAACTTGATAAAATCTCCTATTACCTCCAAAGGACACTGTCCCCTTTGAGTCTGCTTGTACTTGCTGTCTCAGGGCTTGGTGCTGTTCCTCTGTAGGCTGAATACCAAGATAATTTAGAGCCTGGGAGGAAAAGGACACATGTAAAGCAATTTTTCAAATCTCTAAAGAATAAAACTTTTTATTACAACTTTATTTTACAACCCAGTGAAAAAAGTCAGTATCAGCAACACTGACCAGAATTAGATGCCTAAGGAAAGTCCACTATTTATGGATTAATTGCCTATAGAAGATTAGCTTCTTGATTCTACTAGTACTTCAATATTTTTTTTCTAAGTCTGGCACTTTGACTAATACCAAATTTATAAGGATAATCCTAGAACCAAAAATCAATCTATTTCTTAGTTTATATGATTTCACACAAGAAAAATAGTGAATGAATATTATTATTATGTTGTTGGGAAAGTCATGTCATATTTTTCTATGCAAAAATGCATCGTGACTTTCTAGACATTCGACTTAGAAATAAAACTCTAAAGCAAAAATAATATTTGACTAATATCTTGTCATTGAGAGCAAAACTGAAGTTGAAAAGAATTGGGTTAAATATATTCTAATTTTTGGCTTGTGTAGGGGCATGCTTATACAAATGGTAAGCTAAAAAGCTACCCCTGGCATCTACTCTTTCCTGTCACTCTTCCATTGTAAAAAAAATATCTTCTCCTTTTAGTACCCATAACTGACTAAAAATTCAGACAGTGCCAGTAGTATTCCACTGTCCCTTTTCTTCTTTTACTTTAGTAACAGAATTAATCACAGTTTTCAGCAAGCCATCCAGAAAACGTTATCATCTACTAAAAGAGGCCTCCTAGCCTCTTCTACAGCTTGATGCCATAGCCCTGCTATTTACTATACTAGCCAGTGGAATTTTTTTTATTTTTTTAGCCAGTGGAATAAGAGGGTATGTACTACAGAATATTCCAGCCAAGCCTCCTTTCTTTTCAAAGTAGGGTAATTTAATTAAAATTAAATAAATAAATAAAATTTTTAAAAAAAGAAAGAAAAAGAGAGAGAGGGAGAGATAGAAACAAAAAGATATAAAGGAAAAAATAAGTTTGCTGGAATTTGAGCATAGTTCAAGATGGTGGAACAGAAAGACAAGATCCCTGGCACTGTAGAACTTTTCATTAGCCCTGACTTACTTTCTTTCAGTCTTTTTTTTTTCCACATTTTTAAAATTTCATTTTATTTTATACATTCAATCACATTATTTAGCTTACAAAATGAGTATTTCAGCAGGTGAACATTTCTCCCTAGTCCAGTTGATAAAACTATAAAATATCTTCAACAGATAATACCACATTTCTTTGTCTCATTAATGCTTTCAGTCTTCTTTATGGTGTGAGAGAAACATACTTCTAATGAAACACACTGCTCTTTGGGGTACTTCAGTTATATATAGCAAAATCTAATGTTAACCCATACACAGAGAGGGGCTGAATTCTATATTACTGGATTTTGCCAAGAAATACAGTGTGAATCACATCAAAACTAAAAAGTAGGCAAAGTTTAATATTGGTAATTATACCTTATAAATTTATTCCTCTGTTGGGATCTGTCTACTTATTGGTCATTTCATTCACAAATATTTATTTGGTGCTGTTTATCAGGCACTAAACTACACATAAGGAAAGAAAAAAATGTGCAAGAAAGAAAAGTGCAATAAGACAATTAAATGTGTGGATATACCATGGCAAAATCCAACTTGTTAATGTACAGGTTAACAATCCCACTGGCCACAGTGGAACAAGGAGACAGAGGAAGGGAGAACATTAGTTCTTTCAAAGTGATTCTTTAGCTCAGTGTGGCACCCTCTGCCTACCCTGTGTAGAAGTCATAGTATTTGCTTTGTACAATATGGAATGACAATTCTTAGCTTTTGTGTGTCTTTCCTTTCAGTTATAAAAATGCTCCCAATATAAAAAAAAAAAAAAGACCCTTGCACTCATGTCATCAAATACTCACTCATTGATATTTGCTTGAAATATATATATATTTTCAAGAAATAAAACTTTAGATTTGATTGAAAGCTTTCTTTATTATTCCTCAGTAACCACTATTGTAAGATTGCTATAAACTTCCTGTGTACAATTTAACCCCATTTAACACATAAACATATATCTCCTAAAAATATGCACTCTTTTTTTGTGCTTTCAAATTTTACAAGACTAGTAAAATCCA